GTTTTTTCCCTCCTCGGTGGTCGTTCCTCTAGCCCTGCTCGCGCACCAAGGCTCCGATGGTGCCAGGGAAGGGGCTTCGTTGGACTCGTTGACGCGACTGGAGCGTGAGGTGGGGGCACACGTATCGGCCACGAGCAGAAGGGGTGGGAGGGCAGGAGGAGGGAGGGGCTCTCAGAAGCTCCCCTGCCTCTCAGAAGCTCCCCTGCCTCTCAGAAAGCGCGGGCCTCATCCGCAGATGCAGGGCCGGCAGCCGGCTGGTGCCGAAACTGCGCTCCTGGTGTAAGGCTCCCTACGTCACCAGCCCAACTGCACCCAGCCGGCAGTGGGCGACGTCTCAGAAACACCCCTGCCTCCTAGAATTAAGTCGGGCCTGTCCCCCTACAGGGGGAGTTTTGACGAAAAATGAAACAGACTCAAACAATAATCAAAAGATGCCCAAAAATATTTAATTAGCCTGACGAAGGACCCAACCATGTGCAGGTGTGAATACCGCAGTTGACACTACCAATTTCGGTGGGGCTCCCTATGGGGCCACGAAACGTGTGAAGGGGATGGGTGTGCGGGACGCATGCGGGCGGCAGCACTGGGGCCTTCGGTGGAGCTCCCTATGTGGCCACGAAACGTGTGAGGGAGTTGACGAAATGGGTGTGGCTGACGCATGCGGGCGCGGGCCCTGGGGCCTTCGGTGGAGCTCCCTATGGGACCACGAAACGTTTGAGGGGTGTGCCGAAATGGGTGTGGCTGACGCATGCGGGCGCGGGCACTGGGGCCTTCGGTGGAGCTCCCCATGGAGCCACGAAACGGGTGAGGGGTGTGCCGAAATGGGTGTGGCTGACGCATGCGGGCGCGGGCACTGGGGCCTTCGGAGCTGTCCCGCCTAATGGGACCACGAAAACTTGTGAGGGGTGTGCCGAGGAATGGGTGTGGCTGACGCATGCGGCGACGGCACTGGGGGCCTTCGGTGGAGCTCCTATGGGGGCCACGAAGCGTTTGAGGGGGCCTTGTGCCTGAATGATGGTGTGTGGACGAATGCGGGCGCGGGCACTGGCGGGCCGTCACGGTGGAGCTCCCCATGGGGCCACGGAAAAGCGGCAGCGCAGGATGCGAGGGTGTGCCGAAATGGGTGTGGCTGACGCATGCGGGCGCGGGCACTGGGGCCTTCGGTGGAGCTCCCTATGGAGCCACGAAACGTGTGAGGGGTGTGCCGAAATGTGTGTGGCTGACGCATGCGGGCGCGGGCACTGGGGCCTTCGGTGGAGCTCCCTATGCAGCCACGAAGCGTGTGAGGGGTGTGCCGAAATGGGTGTGGCTGACGCATGCGGGCGCGGGCACTGGGGCCTTCGGCGGAGCTCCCTATGGGGCCACGAAGCGTGTGAGGGGTGTGCGAAATGGGTGTGGCTGACGCATGCGGGCGCGGGCACTGGGGCCTTCGGTGGGGTTTCCTATGGAGCCACGAAGCGTGTGAGGGGTGTGTCGAAATGGGTGTGGCTGACGCATGCGAACGCGGGCACTGGGGCCTTCGGTTGGAGCTCAGTATGAGCCACGAAGCGTGTGAGGGAGATCGTGTCGGAATGTGTACCGAAATGGGTGAGGCTGACGCATGCGGGGCGGGGCACTGGTGCTGTTCGGTGGAGCTCCATATTGGTAGACACGGAAGCGTGTGAGGGGTGTGCCTGAAATGGAGTGTGGCTGACGCTATTGCCTCCAGAGGCACTGGGGGCACTCGGGGAGTCCTATGGAGCCACAAACGTGTGAGAGGGTGTGCCACGAAATGGGTGTGGCTGACGCAACATGCGGGCGCGGGCACTGGAGCCTTCGGTGGAGCCTCCCTATGATGCCACGAAACGCGGGCGAAGCCTCCGGCTCTGTGAGTAACTGCGGGGTGTGCCGAAATGGGTGTGGCTGACGCATGCGGGCGCGGGCACTGGGGCCTTCGGCGGAGCTTCTACTATGGGGCCACGAAACGTGTGAGGGGTGTGCCGACTTGTGTGTGGGTGACGCATGCAGGCGGCAGCACTGGGGCCTTCGGCGGAGCTCTTATGGGCCCGAAGGGGTCGGAAGGGTTTGAGAATGTCCGGAGGGTGGTGCCGAAGAATTGGCATGGGGGTGTGCGCTATGCGGGCTAGCGGGCAGCACTGGGCCTTCGGGTGGAGTTCCCTATGGAGCCAGAACGAAGCTTTGTGTGGAGGGGTGCTGCCGGAAATGGGGTGGGGTGACGAGATGCGGGACGCGGGCACGGGGCCTTCGGTGGAGCTCACTTATGGAGCCACGAAACGTCGTGAGGGGGTGGTGCGAAATGGGGTATGGGTGGTACGCAGGCGGGGGGCGCGGGCACTGGGGCCTTCGGCGGAGCTCTTATGGGGCCACGAAACGTGTGAAGGGTGTGCCGAATTGGATGTGGGTGACGCATGCGGGCGGCAGCACTGGGGCCTTCGGTGGAGTTCCCTATGGAGCCACGAAACGTGTGAGGGGTGTGCCGAAATGGGTGTGGGTGACGCATGCGGGCGCGGGCACTGGGGCCTTCGGTGGAGCTCCCTATGGAGCCACGAAGCGTGTGAGGGGTGTGCCGAAATGGGTGTGGGTGACGCATGGGGGCGTGAGTGCACTGGGGCCTTCGGTGAGCTCACATATGGTAGCCACGAAACGTGTGAGGGGTGTGCCGAAACGTGTGGGCGACGCATGCGGGCGGTTGCACTGGGGCCTTCGGTGGAGCTCCCTATGGGGCCACGAAACATGTTAGGGGTGTGACGACATTGGTTTGGGTGACGCATGCGGGCGGTGGCACTGGCGCCTTCGGTGGAGCTCCCTATGGAGCCACACCGAGAGCCGATCAAAACCCGGGCTGTGGAGGGTGTGGCCGAAATGGGGTGTGTGGGCTGACTCGCCATAGCGCGGCGCGGGGCACTGGGGCGCTTCGGTGGAGCTCAGTGTGGAGCCAAACCGAAGAGCCACGGTGTGTCAGGGCGGTGCCGAAATGGGTGTGGGTGACGCATGCGGGCGCGGGCACTGGGGCCTTCGGTGGAGCTCCCTATGGAGCCACGAAACGGTGTACTGGGTGGGTGACGAGGAGAGGAGGAGAGGAGGGGAGGAGGAGGGAGGAGAGGGAGAGGAGAGGAGAGGGAGAGGAGAGGAGAGAGGAGGAGAGGAGGGGAGGGCGAGACGAAGCCAGGAACGCGGGGGCACCGTCTCTCAAAACGAGGACCCAACACCACAGGATGGTTGGGAAAAAATTGTCCCCGCGGCTATTTATGACTACTTTTGGAATATTCCCCCTGTAGAGGGACAGGCCCGAACCTTAATCCCTAGACGGCGAGCGGGCTTACCTGGAGAGTGTGGGGCGGCGGCAGCCGGTTGGTCCGTGCCCCAAAACTGCGCAGCTTATTCTGGCGCTCCCTATGCAAGAGCAGCCCAACTGCACCCAGCCGGCAGTGGGCGACGTCGTCAGAAACACCCCTGCGTCTTAGGAAGGCCTCGGGGAAGGCGCGGGCCTACAGTCAACCTGCAGGAAGGGACGCCCGTTAAGGATTAAGGGCAGTTGGAACGCACATTCGAAGCTTTCCGAGCGGGGCGCGGCCAACGAAAGTGGCCAAGGATGGGCCGAGGAAGCAAGGATGCAAGGGTACCCTTGGGAGGGATGCCTATCCTTACTCTGCGGGTCGACTGTATCTGTAGGTGTGGGGCTGCCACCCGGTTGGTGCCCAAACTTCGTCCCTCATTCAGCACTCCCTACTGCAGCAGCCCAACTGTACCCAGTCGGCCTTGGGCAACCTGCTGTCGCGCCAAACTGGCCTTGCTTCGGGGGCACGCAAACACGGATTGGCGATCCATGGGCTTGGCGCGCGGTCGCCAAATTCGTGGCTCGGGAGAAATGCCCTCCCCACAATGCGGCCGGCGCCGCCTCGCTCGGCGGCGGAAGTCCGCGATTTCCCATGGAAACGGGACCCGTCGCTAATCCACGCCCCCTTGATCCATGTTCGGTTACACGCAAGAGTGACCCTGGGTAAGAGTGACCTTTGGTGCGCGGCTTTTTGAGGGCCGCGGGGGGACCAAACACAAGCAAGCAAGGCGCTACTGTCGCACCGCACGCGACGATCGAGGGGCCCCAATGGCCGCGCACCAAAAGTCACTCCGGCGAAGGGTCACTCGTACGTGTAGTCCACATGTTTGCGATCGCCTGATTGTTGGGTCACCGGGCCGGAGAGAAGGCCGGAGGCGGCGGCGCCCGGCCAGACCGCACGCACGCTGAATGCCCCCGCTCTGGGCGTCCGAGAGCCCCCCTGCGCAGGAGGCCCCCTGTGGGAGCATTCTGGATGCGTCGGGCGATGCTTCCCCATCGGTCGGAAGAGGCAGGTAGAACTATGAAGTAGGAAGGCGTTGAGAGTAGAGACTGGGTGTGTCCGCCCGCCCCATGAGAAGGACGGCGAAGGTGGAGCCACCCGATCACTGAAGCAGGAAGGCGCTTCAAATATACTGGAATCTGAGACTCCAAAAATATCTACTTTCAACGAGCGATGGGTAAATAAAAATTGGGGGGGGGGGAAGAGCAACGTGCATCCCTCGTGCCCCTAAAGGCCCCGAGCGAGAGGGCACGAACAGGGCACTTTGGTCTCCCCCTCCCTCCCCCCTTCATCGCACCCCCATCACTCGACGCCCGAACCGTTACTCGACGCCCAGACCCGTCACCACTCCGTCCCTCTCGACGACGCCATGCTCCCGACTGAGCCATCCTGCCCACGAGTCGCTCTCGGCCCTCCTCCCCAACCAGGAGCACCGAGTCATGCTCCCCTCCAGCGAACTTCGACGAGCGCGCTCCACGGCTCGCAAAAAGTCACTGCTCGCAGATGGCCTGGATCCCCCGCGAGGGACCTACGACACATCACACAGAGAGCAGACGTGGGCTTCTCGGACGTCTGCGAGTGGGCACTCTGCGAGTAGTGGCACGCGCTCGGCGAGAAACCGCTCCGCTCGTGGACGCGTGCTGGCGGCGGGGCGGCGGGCACTCGTCGGCCGGTGGCCGTTGCTGTGCGGCGGCTGGTTCCAGTCGAAGTCCTCCGAGCCCGGCGCCCGTCGTCACGGAGGAGTGAAGGGGCCCTGGGACACACAAATAAATACACACACAAATAACAGGATTCCCCACATTTTCAAATATTTTCTGGGTTTCTGTCTTCCCCCCCACTTCCCATAGTTTCCTATATTTTCTTGGGAATCATCGATCAATTGTGTCTGTGTGTTTTTTTCCCCTCCTGAGTCACGGAGGAGGCCGGCAGGGCAGGAGGGGCGGGGCGCACGGGGGGGGCGACGACCACTCGGGGCCGACCGTGCCGAAGAGGAGGGGAGGAGGAGGAGGGCAAATGCAAACAGAGAGGATGGGGGCGACGGCGAGGGGCAGGGAGGAGGACGATGAGGGCGAGGAAAACGCGGTGCCGAAGAGGAGGGGGGCCGACGGTGCCGAAGAGGAGGGGGGAGGAGGAGGACAAATGCAAACAGAGAGGATGGGGGCGAGCGGCGTAGGGGCAGGGGGAGGAGGACGATGAGGGCGAGGGAAACGCGGTGCACGAAGAGGAGGGGGGCGCCCCCCCCCCCCCCGGTGCGAAGAGGAGGGGAGGAGGAGGAGGGCAAATGCAAACAGAGAGGATGGGGGCGACGGCGAGGGGCAGGGAGGAGGACGATGAGGGCGAGGGAAACGCGGTGCCGAAGAGAAGGGGGGCCGACGGTGCCGAAGAGGAGGGGGGAGTGGGGGCGACGGCGAGGGGCAGGGAGGAGGAGGACGATGAGGGCGAGGGAAACGCGGTGCCGAAGAGGAGGGGGGCCGACGGTGCCGAAGAGGAGGGGGGAGGAGGAGCACACATGCAAACAGAGAGGATGGGGGCGACGGCGAGGGGCAGGGAGGAGGAGGACGATGAGGGCGAGGGAAACGGGGAGGGAGGAGGAGGACGATGAGGGCGAGGGAAACGGGGAGAAGGCGAAGGAGAGCGGCGAGGATAGCCGGGCGGCGCAAGAAGAGGAGAAGGCGAGGCAAGTCGACACCCCCGTCTCTTCCCTCGCCCTCCATGTCCACCTCCTCCTACTCCTTGTCCATCTTGCTCCTTTCCTGCCCCGAGGTCTCCAGCTCCTTACTCCTCCTCCTCTTCCCCTATGAAGTCTTCTGCACCCAGGTCCTCTTCTTCCCCCTCCTCTTCCTCGACCGAAACGAGCAAAGTAACCCCATCATATGAACGAGGAGGCGATGAACCCGTGGTCCTTTTTATTCTCTCTCGTCCTCCCCCTCATCCTGCTCCGCTCCTCCGCTGCCCGCAGCCTGCTGCTTCTGACTGCTCTCCTCCACCTCCCCCCCTCAAACACGAAGCCTTAGGTCGGGCATGTCCCCCTACAGGCGGATGTGGGACGAATGTGTATATATATATATATATATATATATATATGCACACTCACAACATACACCAAAATGGTCAAACATACCCAGACTCTATTTTCAACTAGTTTTGAATGTTCCTCCTGTAGAGGGACAGGCCGACCTAAACGAAGCCAGGATAGGGACAACACCGGACAGGAATACGTCGGGAATCTCTGAGGCCCAGCGGTCCGCGGCTCTGGAGGATGGATCGAGCGCCGCGGCCTTCTCAGCGCTTCCTGGGACGCCGCTCTGAGAGCGTTCTGGAAAACGCTCTGGAACGATCATATCCGCCCGATCATCCCCCCTCATGCTTTCTCCAGCAGGAGCTCGACCCCAACAAACCTCCTACAAGAAACCCAACCCTGAGACACCAGGACGTTCATTGACTGCTGGTGTGGGAACGTCACGCCTGCCATATCAGAACCATCGAAACCCAAGAAACCCAGGGCACCCTGGAGGCAAGCAGGATGTCTCTTGGCACGGGTCTCCACTGTACTGGCCTCCACCTGCACGGTTACCCCCAAGGCCGTAGGCGACCCGAGGAGGAGGAGGAGGAGGAGGAGGAGGAGGAGGAGGAGGAGGAGGTGAGGGAGGGGGAGGAGGAGGTGGAGGAGGGAGGAGGAGGGAGGAGGAGGGAGGAGGAGGAGGAGGTGGAGGAAGAGGAGGAGGAGGACGACGGGTCGCCTAAGCCCTTCGGAGAAACCCTCCACCTCCACCTATGGACAACCTCGCCTCGTCCACGCTGCTCCTCCCCGGAGGGCCTTCCACTTCCCCCGTCCCTCCCCCGCCCTGAAGCCGCCCCCCCCTCCAGCACTTCCACCAGGTAGCTCATGACGCGGCGCACGTGCGTCCTGCCCCCGGGCTCGAGTTGAGACCCACCCGACCCCGTCTTCGTCGCTGTCGTCCTCCCCGTTGTCCTCGTCGCCAGGGGTGTCGTAGTCGTCGCCGTGGTCGGCGCCGCCTTCGTCGCCGTGTTCGTAGCCCACGTCGCCGCCGTTGATGTCGACGTCAGCATCATAATCACTATCAGCATCGTCATCTGTATCATCATCACCATCACCATCACAATCACTACCACCAACATCATCACCATCACCATCACCATCACCATCACCATCGGCTTCATCATCATCATCATCATCATCATCATCATCATCAGCATCATCATCATCAGCATCAGCATCAGCATCAGCATCATCATCATCATCAGCATCATCCGTATCATCATTACCACCATCATCATCATCGTCATCAGCATCGACATCATTAACATCATCATAATCATCATCACCATCACCACCACCACCATCATCACCATCACCATAACCATCATCATCACCACCATCATCATCAGCATTGTCCTCATCAGCATCCCCACCACAACCAGCACCATCACCATCATCACCATCACAATCATCATCACCATCACAATCACCACCGTCATCACCACCATCATCACCATCATCAACACACCACCACCACAACCACCTCCACCATCATCTTCATCACCATCATCATCATCATCATATCATCGTCATCATCCTCATCATCATCATCATCACCATCATCATCGTCGGAGGAAGGGAGGGAGGGAGGGAGGGACGGCAGGCCGCCTCCTCCCTCCAACTGGTCCTTCCTCCCTGCCGATTCTTCCTTCCCCTCATCTTCCTCCTCCTCTTCGCCTCAACCTTGCGCTCCTCCGCACTTCCCCTCCCCACCCCACAAATCCCACCAGCCCTCTGGGCGTAGGTGGTCTAGAGCAGATCCTCTTCCACCCCTCCCTCTTCCCCCTTGGGGAGGGGTTTACCCCTCCCCCTACCCCCTCCCCTGGACCTGGACGGGGGGGGCCGCGGGTAGTTAGAGCGTCCCAGATGGCCCAAGACGGCTCCAAGAGCGCCTCAGAGAACCCAAGATGAGCTCCAAGATGGCTCAAGATAGCGCAAGATCGCTCGAGATGGCTCCTAAGATGGTTCCAAGAAGCCCAAAGACGGCCCCAAGATAACTCCAAGTGGCCAAAGAGCTCCCCAAGGAGGCCCCGAAGAGGCCCAAATCGTCCCAAAACCGTGGGAAAATAAATACTTTGTGCTTTCTCGCCTTTTCCTCCGAGGCCATCCGAGGCCTGGAATGGTGACAAGATGGGCCCAAGAGGGCCCCAAGAGAGCCCCAAAAAGCCCAAGAAAGAACGGCCCCAAGAGCGCCCAAAGAGCACTCCAAGAGCGTTCCAAGAGGGGTCCAAGAGGCGATTTTAGGGGCTTCCGAGGGGGGACGCTAATTAAACCCCCCCTCTTGTTTGATCGATCTCCTCCAAGATGGCCCAAAGAAGCGCCCAGGAAGCCCCAAGAGGTCCCAAGATGGCCCCAAAATGGCCCCAAGAGGCCCCCAAGAGGCCCCCCGGAGGCCCCCAAGAGACCCACAAGAGGCCCCAAGAGCCCCCCCAGATGCACCCAAGATGCTCCAAGAGGCCTCGGCGAGAATGCCTAATCATTGATTCTACACAGGTTTTAGCCACATGGAGGCCTCTTGGGGGGGGGCACGGATTAAGATGACTCCAAGAGCGTCTGGGAGAGCCCAAAATGACCTCCAAGATGGCTCAAGATATCCCAAGATGTATCATAATGGCTTCCTCTGTGTGCTGCCCACTTCTCTGATCGAGGCAATTCCTCTGGGCATCGTTTCTGGATGGGCTGGTGGGGATTCGCGAAGCGACAACAATTCTGATTCCCTCCTGATTCCTGTGTGCTGCGGGCTCACCGTTCCTCCTCCAGTCTCCTTGACCTAGGTTCTTTCGTCGTCGTCCTGCTCATCCTCGCCTTTCCTTCGACTCATCCTGATCCTTCTGTCCGTCCTCCCCTCTCCTCCTGCCCTCCTGCTGGTGTCTCTCCTACTTCTACTCCTCGTCCCTATCCTCCCTCGCCTTCACCACCACTCATACCTCATCTCCTTTCTCCGTCTGCGCCCCTCGGGTATAGTTCCTCCTCCTTCTCCTGCTTCCCCCTTGTTGTTCGTCCTCCCTCTTCCATTGCCGAACCCCACCACGCGTACGCGTGGTGGCACAGCGGTGTGGGTGGCCCGTCGGATACTGCCCAACGTGCGGTCGAAACGCTGCCAGAAGGAACCCTGAATAAGGAACGCGTCCCTTGTTTCATGAGTTAAACTTCGATGTCCCATGGAAAACCTTCAGGACAGCCTCAGAACAACTGCAAAACACTTAAGGAACACTGAACCCTCCTCAACGAAAAGGGTTCCTCAGCGACCCGACTGATCCAGAAGCTTGATATTTCATCAGTTCAACGGATGGATGACGGACGGTTTCAAACAAAAGAGTTGTCGCTCGAGACTCCGTGACACAGATTCACCATATCGTCGGACAGATCTGACATGTATCCGGATGGATGTGGCGAATGAGATTCCTGTTCCCTTGGGGCACTGCAACACTTCTCCTTCAACAGCTGCATAGATGCAGGGCGGGTCGGCATTCTAAGAATGTGATTCGTGATCTCATCTCGGTGCCTCCTAGATTCGTGTCACAATTCCTACCATCTGCCTGCAGCAAGGGGGACCCCTCTCAGACCCGTGGTGGCTCAGCATGCTACTCATACGAAGCCCATCGTGATCGTTGACTCGCATCGCAGAGCCGATGGTGCCCTCGGCTTCCCAGCCCTGCCACATCTGGGGCGCCGAACAGGACGGGCGCGCCCAGCCACGTACACGAACGCATTCCCCCAGTTCGCGAGGCCGCCCTCATGTCTCGAATGCTCGCGTATTGCGCTCTCTCGAACACCATGTGAGTTCATGCGAACGACGAAAGGGCACGGGCATCACGCAAGATGGCGCAGCGACCTTACGCGATGTCTTACGCGGGACGCCAGCGCGGCACGCTACATTGGAGACGTGGGCGCTTACGCGCGAGCTTACGCGAGCATCTTACGCGCCCATGTCGGCGCAGACGATCCAGCTTCTTTTCGTCGCGCTTGTATGCTTAGCCACCGGTCGAAAAAAGTGGGTAATAACATCAAGAGGGTGTTGAAAACAGGTCGTATGTTCGCCCGCCCCCTGAAGAGGAAGAAAGGGAAAGCCGCTCGACGATTGAAGCAGGATGGTGGTAAGGCTTCGCTTCGGGATGCGCACAGACAGCGCCTTCAGGTGGCCCTGCTGGTCTCAGCAGGCCCCACCCGAGCAGCCCCAGCTGGCTTCAGGAGGCCCCTTGAACAGTCTGGGGCGGTCCCTGCCGGGCCTGTTTTCCACCACCACCACCACGAGTTGGAGGGGGAAGGAGAAGGAGGAGGAGAAGGAGGAGACTCAGACTTAGACAACCCTTGGCGAAGGAAGCAGCGCTATCCGACGTGTCTTACTCGCTAGGCGGCATGCCTGAGTTCAGGCTGCGACTCTTTCCTGCGCCTGATTTCTTAGCCGCGTAGCATTCGCTGACGTGCCAGCTGCTCGGCGTGAACTAGTGGCACCTTAAGTTGTAAAAAGCCAAGTGAAGACAAGCCTCGATGTAGCTGTTGTCCGTGTCGTCCAGGTCGTAGCCGACGACCTTCAGCTTCTGGTCGCGCTGTGGGTTCAAGGCCATCCAGTACAGCTCTGCGGCTGGTGATTGCGTTGGGCACGCTCTTCTCTTTGGGGTCGTCCAGAGATACCTCTTCAGTCTTTTGAGGTCGCGTTTGCTTTGCAGGAAGCACCCGCAACGTGCTCGTTATTGAACTCAGGTAATTGATCTGGGTCATCGGACATGTGGTCCCATGGGTCAGGAATAGGAGGCAAATCTTCGGGGACTTCTTCACATTCAAGCTCTTCTCTCTGGCGCGGGTGGTTCGTAATCTCCACTGCGCTCAGTCCTCCTTCTTTTCCAGGTTTGCTGAGCGCTTGCATCCACTCGTCCTTCGTCGGGCTCACCAACGGAAGAGCTCGCAGGTCACGTCTCTTCGTCCCCGTTCTCGTGTTGCCCAATCTAATCGTGGCCCTGTACGCCTGGGCGAATCTTCTAGCTTCCCAATGCTCGCTTATCTCTTCTGCTATTGCATCTCTGGTTTGTTGGCGCGCTTCAGCTCGTACTTTTCCGCACTGTCTCGATATGGCCCTCAGAAGTGGTTCGACCTGTCTCTTTGTGGCGCCGGTGGCCCATGTAGCTTCGCGTAGATCACGTCTCTGCTGTAGCATTGCCAGCCTTGCCTTTCTTAGCCGTCTATACTGTTCGTCAACAAAGTGTGGTTGCAAGAAAACTCTTTGCCCGCGCGAACCATGTTCTGCTCCAGGTACTCGGAGATCGCGTCGGGCGTCTCCTGCATTCCAAGTTGTACCCAGCGGGGCACGTCGTCCTGCAACGCCTCGTTGAGCTTGGTGAGGAAGTCATGCTTGAGGTCTCCGTGTCGGAGCGCGTAGACTAGCGAATCTAGGTTCCACTTCTCACGTTGTAAACTCGCCTCTGGGTCGTCGCATGTGGCCAGTTTGTCATGCATGATCGTCGCGTGCACAAGAACATGGTCGCGCAGTTGTCTGTCTGGAATGCACTGCAGTCTTCTGCCCATCCTCAGCAGAGGCGCGGCCTTGGTGCAAGCTTCCTTCCACGATACTGGCCCGATAACGCAGTCCAGCCTCGAGGTCTCCTCGTTCTTGCCGAACCAGGTGGGATCGAGCGTGTCGCTGTAGACTGCCATGTGGTGCCGGTACAGCACTTCTCGTAGACATTCTCCTGCTCCTTTGAAGAACTCCTTCGTCGCCGCCTCCTTCTTGATGACGCCCTCGCCGACGTAGCCGTTGCTCTTGGTCGCGCTGTTTCCGATGCCGTCGCTGAGGTCCGTGAGGATGATGGGTAGCGAGGGGTGTGGCGTGCTGAGAAGCACCTGGTCCAGCCACTGCGTCATGTGCGTGCAGGTCTCTCGGTAGTGAGTCGCTGCTTTCGCCGTCTTCGGCTTCGGTGGGAAGTACATCGCCACCGCCGTAATGTCCATCAGCCCGTTCTTGCATCTGGCCGCTAGCAATCTTCCTTGCAGTGCGGCTGGTGTCTCGAAGACACGCCTGAGGTGGGACTTGTCGAAGCGCCTGCCCCACATAATCCAGCACCCAGCCGATTTGTTTGTGAACACTCCTGGCCCCCAGCCAGAATCAACTATCAGTCTGGCTCTCACGTCCGACTGGAGCCCATGTGTGTAGCCTGGGGGGGCCTTGGACTGCGTGCCGACTAACGCGAAGACGTCGAAATTGGCGGCCTCGTCGGCGATGTCCTCAGCACGGTCCCCCAGCGCCGACAGCGGGTTGAAGACCCCGACGAGCAGCGGCAGCGCCCTGAAGGGCCTGCCAGCGCGGGTCCTCAGGGAAGGGGCAGCCGCCATGGCCCTCGCCGCAGCGCGGCTCCTGGCGGCGTGGGGGGGGTGTGGGGCTCCCCTGCGTCGGCCCTGCATCCTTGATGGAAAGGGGGCTGGAGGAGGAGGAGGAGGAGGAGGAGGAGGAGGAGGAGAGGAGGAGAAGGGAGTAGAAGAGGAGGAGGAGAGGAGGAGGAGGAGGGAAGAGGAGGAGGAGGAGGGAGGAAAAAAGCTAAAAATGGGATGAAGGACGGAGCGAATGGGCGGGCGGGGCGGCGGGCAGGCGGAGCGCGGCAGGGAGGGGCGGAGGCGGCGGAGGCGGACCGGCGTCGGGGGGCCCTCCCCCACCACGTCTGGTGCGTCGTGTGGAAAACCAACCCCCATAACAGCCCCCACACCTCAGGACCGCCGGAGGCGACGCCGGGGCGCGGACCCCGCCCTGGGCTTGCTCGTGGGCCTCTGGAAACCAGCCTGGAACTGCTTTCGGTGGGCCTGCTAGCAGGCCCGCGGGGGCCGCCTCCTCCTCCTCTTCCTCCTCCTCCTCCTCCTACTCCTCCTCGTCCTCCTCCTCCTCCTCCTCCTCCTCCTCCTCCTCCCCTTCCTCCACCTTCTTCTCCGCCCGATCGGGTTGCCTACTGCCCCGGGGTAAACCGTGCACCTTGCCCTCGCGCACAGCCCGCTGAGTTACCACGGCGTGGCGCCCACAGCAGACTGGAGCCTGGGGACCCCGAAGCATGTTCGGAGTCCGGAGACGGTGCGGCGACGGACCGCGCGGAGACCTCAAAAACTCCCTAAGCCTCACTGCACGGTCCGTCCCGCGGAGAGGGACTCGAGTCCCAAAACGGTGCGGTGACCCCGAATCCCCACCGACTCACCACACAGTGCGGTCACCTCACCGTTTGGGGGCCCCCAGACGCGCGAACCTCGGCTGATTAGCAATCAAACCACCCCTAATATACCCTCTGGGCTGGCGGCCCCAGAATCGAATCGATAAGCCGGATCGGGTCGACTGGAGCATCGAATCGGCAGAGTCGGCAGGGCCGAGTAGGATCGAGTCGGAAGCTGGCTGTACGGACGCCGGATCGGAATCGACATCGGCAGGCACGATCTGCGTGTCCTCTGGTGGGACTCGTCACTGAAATCCTCGGACGTCGATCGTCGTCGCAGTCGTCGTCGCAGTCGTCGTCGTGGGTCGTCGAAGGTCGCCCGACGCCGTCAAAACTTGGCCGGCCTGGAGATCCCCCCGGGGGGGTTCGGCCAACCCTCCCTTCTGGGAGTTTGGCGGACCCGAATCCCTCCCCTGGGAAACCCCAAACCCCCTCTTGGGGGGGTTGGGGGAAACCCAAACACTCCCCCCGGGAGGGGCTTGAGGAAACCCGAACCCCCCCTCAGGGGGTGGTTTGGGGAAATCCGACCCCCACCCCCCAGGGGCCTCCCCCAGGGAGGGGGGGGGGGGGGGGGGGAACCCGAAACCCGCCCCGCCCCCAGGGCGGAGTTTGAAGAAACCCGACCCCGAAAGAACCCCCCCCCCAACCCCCCCCCCAGAGGGGAGGGAGGGGGAAGGGGGAAACCCCCGAAAAACCCTCGAAACCCTCCCGGGAGGGGCTGGGGAAACCCGACCCCCCCCGAGGGGAGGTTTTCAAGGAATCCCCTCCAGGGGGGGGGCCGGGGGGAACCCGAGGGGTGGGGGGTGGGGAAACCCCAAGTAGGCACGATCTGCGTGTCCTCTGGTGGGACTCGTCACTGAAATCCTCGGACGTCGATCGTCGTCGCAGTCGTCGTCGCAGTCGTCGTCGTGGGTCGTCGAAGGTCGCCCGACGCCGTCAAAACTTGGCCGGCCTGGAGATCCCCCCGGGGGGGTTTTCGGACCACAACGCTGCGAAAGCTACGTAACCCCCTACCCTCCCCTTCTGGGTGTTTGGCGGAAAACCCACACCCGAATATCCCTCCCCCGAACACCCTCAAATAAAAAACCCCAAACCCCCCCCCCTCATGGGGGTTGGGGGAAAACCCAAACATAAACACTGAAACTCCCACTTCACCTTGTGACCGGGAGGGGGGCTTTTGAAGGAAATACACCCGAAACAAAAAAAAAAACCCACCTCAGGGGGTGTTTGGGGAAAATTTCCGCCCGCGTCCCCCAACCCCCCAAGGGCGGGGCCTCCCCCAGGGAGGGGGGGGGGGGGAAACCCGAAACCCGACCCGCCCCCCCCAGGGCGGAGTTTGAAGAAACCCGACCCCCCCCCAGAGGGGAGGGAGGGGGGAAGGGGAACCCAAAACCCTCCCGGGAGGGGCTGGGGAAACCCGACCCCCCCCGAGGGGAGGTTTTCAAGGAGGGTTGGGGAAACCCGAAACCCCCTCCGGGAAGGGGGGGGCCCGGGGAAACCCGAGGGGGGGGGGTTGGAGAAACCCCAAGTAGGAAACCGAACTCTATACATTGACGTGTTTTCTGGCCCTGCACTGAAATTCGCACAGGGACGCGGATTCTGGTGTATACGGGGTCCTGGCGTATACATTCTTCGCTGTTTCCCCGGGAAGACGGGGAAGAAAGTCCAGACCACCCCAGCATCGGCCTTGACCCTCAACAAAAATCCTGGGATGAAAAAAACGGCCCGCCACTGGTAATGTATATGTTCCAGCTTCCGACCAAGACCCTCCTGGGGGGGGGTCGCAGGGGTTCGCACCCACCCCCCCCCCACCCCACCCCACCCCACTGGGAGGGGGTCGCACAGCCACGCCCGTCTGGCGAATCCCCTCGTCCCCCCCGGGAGAGGGTCAACGCGGGCCCCCCCCGGGGGCCCGTGCGGGCCCGTCGGGGGCCCCTTATGGGGGGGCCCTCCGGGGGTGGGGTGTGGACGGCGACGGCCCCTCCCTCCTCCCTCCTCGGGTGGCATCCCTCCGAGACGCCCGAGACTCGGCCGACCGCCGTGCCAGGCTGCGCCGAGGCAGGGGGGCCAGGGAGGGAGGGGGGAGGCGACGACGACGGCGCCGGAGCGAAGTGGAAGACATCGGCAGAAGTCGGCTGCCGAATCGAAATCGGCAGGAATCGGATCGGGCGAACTCGAAAGCGAAATCGTGAATCGGCATGCTCGCATCGAATCAGATCGAGTCGGAACCCTGGGAAATCGAATCGTATCGGCCTGGAGGAGTCGGAAAGCGCCCAGTTTGGAAGGGGTCTAATTTAGGAGGGCCAAACACATTAGGGATATAGGGGTCTTTTCTGCAGCCGCCCATATTCAATATCCCTGATGCAAAGACGGGGACCGAATTACGTGAGACCACGTCTCCACTGTGTTATTAGGATTCGGGGTTCTATTCTCAATGATCGGCACGCCTTCCTGCTGGCCGGAGCCGATGCTGGGCTTGGGCGATGCTCGATGGGTGGCGAGGAATGCGGGGGCGATAAAAAACATGCGCCGTGCGTTCCCCTCCTGGGCCCAGGAGGGCTGAGGCCCCAAAGATGCACGAAAAGTGCACCCGCCTTCACCCCCGAATTACACGTCGGTCGGAAGAAATATGTGAAATCATGAAGCAGGAAATCGGGTAAAACAGATTGGGTCCAAGCCGACCCAGAGAATAACACAACAGCGCACACGCATATCTATCTTGGAGTAGAAAGGCGCTTGAAGTAGATTGGGATCTGACAATCTAGAAATACCTGCTTCCAACGACCGGCGCGTAACCCTCACCATTACGCAACGCTCGATGGGCCACCTCAAAACCGCAGCCAGCTCATCAAACTTTCAACGACCAGTTGGCGCGCCTCTGCTAAGATGCAGCCAAGACGACGATAACATCGGGAGGGCACAGAAGTCGATAGTCTCTGTGATCCGACGGCTCTGGAAGATATCCCAGGCGTCGTGGACTTCTCACAGGGTCCCAGAACGCTCTGGAACAGATGCGTCCTCGTCATAGCCCCGTCCGAACCCAGACCCTCGACGTCATGTTGCTTTTTGTGCCTCATCACGTCGACCCCCCAAGGTCTGGACCCAAATCCCCAGGACTGGTTTCTTATCCTCAGCGGTTTCTTGACGGCCCCGCGGCTCGGGAAGGGCCGCCAATGGGCGAGAATAGCGAGAAGCCTTCCGTGGTGGTTGCTTCGTGGCTCGGGGGGGGCCTGGGAAGTGGGCGCGCCTCTGCCTCGCACCGCGGCTCCCCACGGCAGGCCGCGCCGCGCTCCTCGGCCTCGCCACGCAGTACACGTTGGGCAGCTTGGGCAGGGCCGACTCGCTCGGGGACCTCTCCGCGCGCGGGGGGCGGCGCGCGACGGCTGCAATCGGGAGCGGCCAAGAGGGGGGTGTCCAAGAGGGGAGGGTGCAAATCATGACCGGCGGCATGTGCACGGCCCAGCGGGGGGGCCAGGGACGTAATGAAATAAGAAGAGGCGACATGAAATCTGGGGAAATATCACGGCCCCCGCCATGATATCCACCCCCCCTAGTCATCACCCCCCTCTTGTCCGCCCCCGATGCAAGGGGGATCGAGTCGGGCCGGGCAAGATCGGGAAACGTTTTCTGTTTGGTTTGGTCCGCGGGCGCTGGGCGCGAACTTTTTGGGGGGCGGCGAGCGGGAGGGGGAGACAGGTGCCCCCCTCTGGGCCCCAAGGGGCCCCTCTTGGGGCCCTACGGGGCCCCTGTTCGGCAGCCCTCGCCGCTGCGCCATGTATCGTCCCCCCGCGCGCGTCCTCTGAGGGCGCACGACGAGTCAGGCGCCGGTCGAGCAACGGGAGGGGCACCCCAGAAGCCCACTGGGCGCCAGGGAGCGGCGGGCAGAAGAGGAGGAAGGCGCCACAGCAAAAGGGCCGCGCTCAGCACATGGAGACCTCCACGCGAGCGCCAGGGGTGCAGCGTGAGGTCGAGGAGCGAGCCCACGAGGCGTACGGACAGGCAGGGTCGGGGAACGCAGTGACAGAAGCACAAGAGCTCGGAGGTCCGCGCAGATTCTTCGGATCGGCGCTGGGCCGCTGAGTGCACTCTGTGGACTCAGGGGAGGCCAGACCAATGCCCTTCCTCTTCTGAGCTCTGAGAAAA